ACGCATATTGTAAAAAGTTAACTATAACCGAATAAAAGGAGCCGGCCAAGAGGCCACCTTAACACCAAAAAAAAAAATAAAAATAAAACTAATTAATACAATAGCAGATAAGTAGTATAGTTATATTATAAAAAGTAGTAGAAATAAGAAGAACCAAAAAAATAATAAGTTTAGAAATACACATATTGGATTGATCAATAGCTATATAAAAAAATTAGTTTCAATTAAAAATAGTATAAAAATTTAATTATATATAATATATTATCTGATAAATATATTATAAATATCTTATTTTTAACAAAGCAAATGCAAAATGCATGTTCACTTGAATGATAAGACAAATACAAAATGCTTGTCATATCTGAGACTATAATAATCTAATCTAAATTATTTTTTGTTTATATAAATAAAAAATGACTCTTAAATATAACATTATATTTTTAAAAATAAAAATTATATATTATACTTGTGATATTCAATATATTATATAAAAATCTATATAATTTGTAGATTAAAATAATTTTTATCAAAACAAAAATTAAATTTTGATTAATATTAGAATTAGGATTGAGGTCTGGAATAAAACAAAAATATAATTTATATCAAACTTTGCAAAAAATTTTTTTGTTAAAGTTTCAAAGGTAGTTTTATAGATGAATTTTTGAATTATAACTATTTTTAAAAAATAAACAAAACCTTTTGTATTACACCTAATCTTGACATTACACCGCAGCTCTGCAGCTTGTAGCAAAAATTATAGTAGTGTTGAACACCAGTGGTGTAATTTAACAATGCCCGTTTAGAAAAATTTAAACTGAATATTTATTTTGCCAAAAATTATACATATATAATTTATTATAAAACTAATCTTAGCTTTTACTCTAACTTTATATAAATGCTTTTTTTAAAGTAAAATTTTAAAATTTTAAAATTTTTTCAAAAACATAATTTGTATAATAATAAAAATTTTGAAAAATATATAAATATAAAATTTGTTATAAAAAGAATTGTGATTAAAAAGAATACAATATAAGGCATTTACTTATTTTAAAAAATCCGCTACATAACTAGAATGCACTGTTAGAATATCCTAAAATATAATTTATCGTTATGAATTTGCTAAACAATAATTACATTTTTTTAATATATAACATAACGATAATTAATAGAAACTTTAAAAACTGGTTAGGGGGGTTAAAGTATAACAGAAAAATAAATAAATATATAAATAAGAACTGCATGCGTTAAAATGAAAATTCTTTATGATGTTTGGCGGTTTTGTAGTTATATCGTTACGGTTATATGATTACGGTTAAATGACCATATGACCATATCGATACGATTATTAATCATGATTAATAATAAGTCTATACGTAGTTAAGATGCGATTAGGGGTTAACAAAATTTTTGACGATTTCAAACTCTACTAAAACTAGGTTCTAAAACTGGGATCCAAGGTTCTAAACCTAAGAACTTTACCATCCTTAGTTTAGAGAGAGTTGACCGTACATATTAATTATTTTAATATACGTATATAAAGTTACACGAAAAGTTTGGCGGTGTAATTTAAAGTTGTATAACTCTGATTATAACACGATCTATATGACAATGAAACAAATATGTACATCAGCACTAAATATTCTAACATGATAAGATCAAAACCTCAGGTGAGATTTATGATGAAATCGGTTTTTGCCTGGTCTTCGTATAGCCCAGATCTCAATTTCATTAAGCTATACTAAAGCATATATTAAAAAATAGGTCAAGGCATTAGTTACAAAACAGGCCACACAAACTAGCAATTTTTTTTTAAAGCAATAATAAAGAACTGGTGACTATACCAGATAATAATTCCTAGATACATCACTGCTGCTGATGAATGACATCAGATTTTGTTTTATGTGCATATTCCTTATTTAAACACAGTTTAAATAAAACCGTAGTGCGTCGTTACATTAAAAATATGTTTGGAATTTCTTTCTTGCGACAGACCCCGCAGCAGCATATTATCGTATATTCTGTTTGGTTTTTTAGTCGGTGCACACAGTAAGTATATACGAAAGTGTTACACGAGTATGTAAAGACCACAAACATTACATGCTCTAGCTTTTCTAAACTAGAAATAGACGTATTTGTTAGCAATAAGGTAAAAATAAGGTGGACATAAACAAAAACGAAAAACCAGGTCTACTATTTCCCGTTAAGTTCTCCGCTATGTTATGGACAATTGAGTTCATGATCGACCGTGGTAAATTCTAATTTGCCATAGAGTAAGTGGATTTGCTCAGTATTCTCATTGTTCTTGATTTTCCAGGCGTTTGGTAACGTTAATTTTTGCCTCAAATGGTTACACGGGGATATCAGAGTTACTTTTGTTACCGTCTACAAGCATTAGGTTCTGGGATTGAGAAAATTTTTGGTCACGTCCAGAAAGCAATGCCTCTGGTTTGAAGCAGACTTTTATTACACGGCTTACACTCGATACTGGGTTTCTGAATAAGCATGTTTTCCAACCCAAAGACTTAGTGGTCAGTGTTAGTTTATGACCTGTTATGATCTATTTACTAATTATAGTTTATGATCTTATGACCTGTTATGACTTATAAAATTTACCACCACTTTGATCATATGAGTGTCGCTAAAAGAAAACACATTTACTGTATGTTTTCTTTTAGCGACTCTCATATAAAGTAGGATATGACCTAAAATGGCCAATACCGTACCCAAGGACGAACCCTAACTGTAACCCTATTTATGTTCTGTCATACGATATTGCTAAAAATGGTTCGATATTGCCAATTAGCATTATTAAGTTAAAATCACAAACTCCGTGGTCGAATTGAGTTTCATAACATTCAATTCATTGATCATCCGATTTTGATGCTAGAAACTAGGTAATGAAATATAATGAAATTTTATACACACGTACATGTGTATAATCATCTTTTTTTTAAAGGAAATCAAAATGAAGTTACGGTGTAGCAATTTATTTTCCCGAATTCCTATTCTTTTATTAACCACTATTGGCGCACCAAATACAGCAGTATATATGATATATATCGGTGTACATATAAGTATACCGATATATCGATATGGCAATAGCGGTTCTAGAAAAAAAAAATATTGGACGGTTAAATTCAACCGATGATATATATTTAATCGCATCATATACTCTACATAGTAATAATTAATCGCATCATTTACTCTACATAGTAATAATTAAGTGTTTAGAATAAAGATTTTTGATTATATTTGGCATGTTTAATGCAAATTAGGTTTACGTTACGTATAATTGATGTAAAGGGATAAAGTATACGTCAGACGAGAAACTTGGAAGCAGAGCAATGTAAAAGGAATTCCCATGGGTGATCCATCAGCCAAACACTACGTATTTCTAAGTCTATGCATGTGGCTCTACCTAATATATTAACTTGCATTTACCACAGCCCATCCATTATTTATCATTTTTTGAAATGTTGTACTTATATAGGGCCTCAGTAATTTTATTACCTTCTCGCCCTTAACTAATCATTAATTTATTATTTTTGAAAGAAACTCTTAATTGCCATTATTCATTCTGTATATATATATATAAAGTGATTTAGTTTCTTTAATATTTATTTTTTTATGAACTCCTTCCTAAAAACCTAAATTCGACTTTATAATCCAACAATGATTGATATCGGGTTTCAACGACGGATAAAGAAGTTGGTATGCATTGTGTGGTCAAAGCCACCATCAAAAATCCAGATTCTTTTGTTTGTAAAGCTTCGATCATCACGTGTTCTTAACAGTTTCGATACGCGAAAAACTTAAATGTATACTGTAGGTTAATCGGATTATTGAGTCGCAGTGGACGAGATATTTTATCATCACATCATTTCTACAAGCCGTTGTGATCATAACTTTAGAGATAAGAGTTTTGTTACGTAACGATGATTCAAGTAGGGATGCCCAATCCTATATGGAATCCACTAATTTTACATACGAAAACAATGAGTGTACTATAAAACCTTCTCTTTTCCGGATGAATAACATCGAAGAAGAGAATGTTATATTTATAATTTTTCAACTTTTTCAGATGTGGCTTTGCTTTAATGCGGTAGATATCTTCATGCCTTAACTTTCCTCGCGTAATCTATTGTGCTATAACTTTGTTTTTCAATTCTTCAGGTGTATAATCAAAACACGATCCAAATTATCACTATCTCGATAATCAACTATCTTTGCGCTTTGTTTGGCATTGTAGGAACCTCTATCCTTTTTTTCATTTTTGAGTCTTTGTATCGATGTTGTTTCTGTGTTCAACTTTTTTATAATTTATAGGTTCAAGTATTTGAAGTTAAAAAATGGTATGCAGATTTAGAATCCGCGTGTCCCAAAAAGTTTGATTACTTAGACCCGCAATTCTATAATTATGATATGCCTCTTGTGTTCGTATTACTTGTCTTTGCGACGATTATGGCTTTCCTTAGTTGGAAGCTTTTTCGTCAATTTGGATGGAACATTTATCGAAAAATTGGAGCTGATATCAAAATCCAATGTAAGATATATATGTTATTTTCTATTACAAAATATCAAATTGTGGTTTTTAATTAATATCGATTAATTCTGTGCATAGCAATGTATAAAACAATGCTCATTTTTGTCATGTTGTTAAAGCTCGATATATTTTTCATATTGTTGATTTCTCTTGAGGCTTGCACTGTGTATCTAATTAATATTGGGAGGAACAGACCAACCAATCCTGATCACATAAGATATCTACCAACTCCATTTTATTTTTTTCATATTGGTGTCACGGTGTTGATTGGTTTTACACAGCTTTTGGCATATCGATCGGTGAGCACGAATTATAAATGATCGATTCTTTTAATATCATCCCTTTTATGCAAGATTGTAATACAAAAACTTTCGTGTGTTCCTAGTTACGTAAAGAATATAGAGTTGGTATGATCATTGTCGCCGTCTTATGGATAGTTTTTTGTGTGGACTTTATTGTTCTTGTGAAATATTCCATCAGAACTGTGCAAAGCAGCTGGTTTTTTTTCATTATATTTTGTAGGCTTTGTATTTAAAACAAATTATTCGTTTTTAAGTTTTTTATCATCTACAATTTATTGATTGTCCTTTTTTTCAGTGTTTTTCGGGATTATAATGTGCATTGTAAGTGTCCAAATGTTTATAATTCCATTGTTATTAAAGATGTATAAACTTACATATTTATAATTTAGCTATCATTTATATGGACGATATTCGTACTAAAAAATTTTGGCCAAGGATTACAAACGCATGGTAAGAATTTCTCTGGCATTTTTAGTCTTATGAATTCATTCATTTTGTCATTTTGTGTCATAAATTCACATTTAAATAGTCGAAGAAGCAAAAAGGAACTCCCGTACTTTACCAATAACTTCTTTAGTGCTCAAGCGATGGCCAATTGAAGACTAAAAAAAAAAAAAAAAAAAAGCGAATAAAAAAAAAAAAAAACGAAACAAAACAATCAAAATTTTAAACTTGTATTTTTGAAGTATAAACTATCTCAAATCTGATATGTTTATTGTATTAATAGAAATTGTAAAATTAACATATGCATTAGAATTATCGGGATAACTAGGATCAAGGTTTTAACATGTATGTTTTAAATAAAGGCGAGAATAGTAAATTAAAGTCAATATGAGCATTAACATTCATTAATGAGAATTTTAATAGTTTGTATTGTGTATCGCCAAAATTTGAACAATATGATAGGAATGAGAAAAAGTTGACTTCATCTTAAGACGAGATCACGAAAATTGATGCAGACTGTGAAAAACGTGAAGGTACCTGCTATATAAAAAAATTCATTATTAATAATCTGATTATGGTCAAAAAACTTGACAATCTCGATAATCTTGGGTCTTGGCATCGAATTGTTTTTTTTTTTAAATCAATATTACATATCGATATCGATATTGATTTAAAAAGTTACCAATCATCTGGTCGAGTTTTATTTTTAAATGAAAACGTTGGGGAGCACATACTAATTAATGAGAACTGCATCAAGTATCTGAACGTACCGCGGTACATGCGTACAGTACGTATTAGGTATCAGTAAAAATTGACAGCGTACATTGTGATCGACAAAATTGTTGAATAGAACACAATTTGTCATGTATAAATGTTTTACTATAATAATAACGATAACACTTAAAAATTTACTTTCCGGTCTTTATTTGATAGAAACAACTTTACTATCAGTCACACGATATTTTCACATTTAAAATTGGGAAATTATACCGACACAGCAAGCACGTGACTATTTGCACTGCAAAATGGCCAGCATTAATATTAAGCTAATCGACACAGCATGACCGGCATTAGAGTTAGGCATGGGCAACTGTCCTAGCGTTACAAACCTAAAAAATTTCACTGGCCAATCAGATTTCAAGATCAAGCGTGACGCAAAAGCTCAACATTTTATCTATAATACCATATTCACAGCGAAACTAACAGAAAAAAAACGATTTGCAAAGATACAAAAAAAATAGAAAATAGCAACAAGTACAATAAAACCCTGTCCATATTTGTTACAATCTTGCTATAGTCAACTTGATTCTTTTATTTATCTATATATACTGAATATAGGCATATAGAATATCTGATTTTAGTATATAACTACTGTGAAGTTTTACTATATTTTGTTTAAAAGTAGGTGTTGTAGTTTACTTTTTCTAAAAGATCAATATATTCTTTACCAAAACAGTTAGTATTATTTATTTTCAAAATAAATTATTATATAGCTAAAACTACAAATAACATAGTTTATTAGCTATATATTTGTGTTTTGACAAAGCTAAAATATTATTGATACAATATTTTATCCCTTAAACTGTATTCCAGGCAAATTTGCCTGGAAAATTTAATTGTATTTAGTATTTTTTAAACAAAATAATAATTTATTAATAATATGGGATATATATTTATTATAGAATATATTTTTGAAAACATATTTTATAACTTTTATTATAAAAGTTTTTTAAAATTATTAAT